TCATAGCAAAAGAGTTGGCAAGTGCAAAGTACACTACTAGAATAAACTAGTCATTTGTTTCTATGATCCTAGCCCTTACAAGCAGCACAGGAAAGGATCTGTCGTTTCCCTAATAACTGAACGTTTGAAAGCTACACCTTCAGAATTGTTCATGCATTCTAGAAAGTTCGTAAATTTTATGCACTTGCAAGAAAAGAGTAAAGTAGTCTCATGAGACTCCAAACTTGTCTCGCACGGACAAAAACGAAAAGAAATGAATTAAACTAAGGCCGGACAATGAGTTACCAAAATTGTTAAATACCAAAGAAAATAAACTGCAGATCAATTAAATACTATTTTTTCAGTAAGGAGAGGCATACATCACGAAGACCAAATACCATTAGATGACCTTCTGATCGACGGAATACTTTCAGAGAAAGTGGTCTTGTTACCAAACAAACTTTCCCCATTGAATCGTCAAAGTTATACGTGTAAACTGAAGTTGTGATTTTTCAAACACTTTAATTCTCCTTTTCTAGCACATAAAAAGGGGTTCTTAAAGATGCATTTTAGTTGTAATTAAAAAATAAATAAATCCAGATTTACTGACTGCGTTTCGTTTGTACATCTGCAGGAGGTTCCCTAAAACACGTTTTGATTAGATGAAGTGTTAATAGTGTCCTGACTACAAGCAGCGGATAAAGGCTGTGGGTAGATTTTTCCAAACTATACCTAAAACAAGCCAGTGCGGTTGAAAGAGGGTACGTGGTCAATATGATCGGTAGAATTTCATCTTTTTCGAATTACAATATGAACAAAGTGACATATGGATTGCATTTTGCATTTGAGAACTGTTGTTTGACAATCTGGCGTCAATATACCAAGAGGCTAGTCTCTTTTGAAAGAAAATATCATCCATCGATCTCTGTTAGACAAAGGGGAATGGATCACATTTGTTGATTAAAAACAGTCTTGACTCGATCTCTTGCTATTTTAAGGTCCATTGATTTTCACTTTCCCTAAGAACTAACAGATTAATTGAAGTAAGCGAACTCAGGAAAGTGAAAGTAAAATGTCCAGTTGTTTCGACAATTGCATATAGGACTTGCTCTTAGCTGGTTTATTCTACAAACATTCAATTTACGAGCTGTTTAATTCATATGACAACTTAATCTTACCAAGATGGTGAAATTCGTTAATCTGATAATAACATAAGATATTTTAAAATCATATTGTTTGGGTATTTACAAACTTATCAAGCTTTAGATGACTATCAGACAAAATTTAAATAAAGGGTTCTTGTTTTCTCACCTGACCTGACATATATATATAGCCATCCCACTGAACACTGGATTAAGCTCCAATTAAAAATAATCGATTGAGGGGCATCCCTTTAAAATATTGCGAACGTCCGTTAGGGTATGCAAATAAATGTCCCTTTCAGAACACGAGGAGATCAAGGAGTGCGGTTGATTTGAACAATCACTCGATTTGAAATGTTTCATCAGCACATGAGTGTGCCTATCAGAATCAAAGCCGTCACTTTGTATCACGAATAAAATAACAGTAACATCAACGACGAAGAGTCTTCAACTAAGAATCTCACGAACCCCAGACCTTCACGTTTCGCGCTCCGATGCTCTACCATTAAGCCACAGGGACTCTTAAGGTTGAGCTAAGAAATTGCTGAGTTCATGAATGACACACGTCCTGCAGACTGCTGGGATCAGCAGTGTCGAAAGCGTCACGGGAATACTTTTAAGCTCAGTAGTCGAATAAATAAAAGAAAATTTCATTTGTCAGTTAAGAGAGCCAAAGAAAGAAATTTGATCTCCCCACGACGACGATGTATAGGCGAGTTTGAAAACGGCCATCATTCTTACACTAAATACTAGCTTCTTTTACTCATTCACGATTTGAGAAGGAGAAAATACCTGCCTGTGGGTCGCGAAATTTAATAAAAAAACCTTAATGGATCTGGTTAACCTGCCAGAATCATAAGGGTGTAATCCATAGAGATTATGTTGAGAAAATTGAATTTTTTAGTTGCTCAACTAAAGAATACTGCTAAGACGCGTTAAAAAAACTGCAGATAGAAAGGTAAACATTAAGTGCAGGAAAGTTACTATCCTTCTAAAATCGCCACAGCTGTGACAATGGCTCTTGTTCTTGTCTCACCTAATCAAAAGTTTAAGAAAATGTGTGATTGTTCTCCCTTCCTAAAAAGTGAACAGGATAGTATGCTTAATTCGGGATAAAGCTGACTGTTACGCTCTAGAATATTCTTAAGATGAATAATTTAATTAAGTGTAAACATCTTAAGTGTCCAGATGATGAGCCACTTAACACTCAAGTTCCAAATATCATAATATGATATTTCCCGCAATACTTTTGCCTACGGCTATAATTGGTTGTATATCTTACATTTGAGGAGAGCATATCAGAAGGGCCGTCACCAGATGACATCTATGCAAGGAATTTCGCAAGAAATTGAAAGATTATTTAGTTTACGTTGCGACTAAAGAAATCGAATTGAAAAACCTGACAAGGCAGAGATTCCACAAGAAGGCAAATATACGAAAATACCTTCATCCCAGAATGCTCTGTGTAGCATAGCTAGACATAAGCAAAGAGATCATTATCAAATGGTAGCATTGCTAATCGTTCCTAACCTAATTAATCAATTTTTCCACCGTAAGTTGAAGGATTTTCCGTAGCTTGAAATTCGTCGAGATAACTGACAGAGTAAAACCACATGTATGTGGGTGGTGCTCACAAGAGTCAAAGGGATGCCTGTTTCAGTTCATTTACCTTGAAAATGTGCAGCAATCATTCCTAGACATGCTAACTGAATGTTACGTGTTTCCTTGGATCTCATACCCTGGACATTATCAATAAAAAAGCCTTGTTTTTAGCTGAAGGATGCGAACTGAAATCTTTCTGAGTCATACTAAAAATATTTCCAAACGCTTTATCAAAGTGGCTGAAGAGATGAACTAAATAAGGGTAGTCGTTCACGCCATATAGATGACTTTTGGCTTTTACTACACTCCCTTTAATTAGTTATGAACATGCAATCGCTTTTTTTTTCCAAGCATTAGCCACGGTTAAGGTTTACCGTCTGTTTATTCACTCCAGTTAAAAAGTTTTCCAGCTGACCAACGGTGAAATCTGATCTAAAAATATATACACGAGGAAGTTTCTAGAGGGTGTTAACTATGGAAGCTTTTGTGCGCAAGGGTGGCTTGTTTATCAGTATCTAACTGGAGAAGAAGAATCGGTAGGAATAAGATCTAGGGGAGACCAGGTAGAATAAAAGAAGTTGGGATGACCCTTTTTCTGTTGATGTCTCCATTCTGGGGCACACGATGCAGAACGACAAGAATTACGAAGAATGAGTGGAGGGTATCATTGTGAGGATGTTCTCCTGTTCTTACATTCGAAATGCCTGAAGCTGACTTATCTTTCAATCATATCTCTTCCCTTCCCCAAACTACTTTGATCAACTGAATTGATAAAAAATCTACTCTCATTTTCCTAAAATGTTCTAACTAAATTAAATCTTCACTTCTTTTTTAGCTTTTATTCGCTAGTTTTTTAGGCATACTAAAAACCTCTCTCTTTCTTCCTCCTTTTAGTTATGACAATATACACAGTTTTTTCGCTCACTTAACTAAACCTTTTACACCACTTCACAATACCGTTTCGTACCGCGCAAGCACGTCCTTTTAAACTACATCAAGTTTTCAAAGCTTTCCACAAAACTCTTCCTTAAATGAGGTAACTCCAAAGTTATCTGTTTGTCCTCTACAATGTTTGCGAGCGCTCTAAAGTTTTCTTCCACTCTACATAAGAAGTGTGGCCGAACGCTGCTTATAGAAGTCCATGGCAAACTCTTCTGGAATAATTGTAATAGAACAAAACTTAATTTAACTCACCCTCTTTTCCAGTTATGGTTTTACTTTGCTGAACGGGCAATGCAGAACTCCAAAAAATTTGCATCGTTATGATAAGGAAACAAAGCCGATGCATCATGTCGATTTCTTCCCTAAGCTGAAGTGAACGACCTTAATCAGTTTGTTCTCATGTTAAAAATACATTGTCTCCACGTTATTAAATACCTTAGCAAAATAGTTCTAGAATTTTCTTCGCTGTTACAACTGATCCGTTCAGTTTCCTGGTGTTGACATAAGTTGTAGGGGTAACAGCGCACCTGCACGACTCTTTACATTTTATCGTCTTTGGTCAAAGAGTGTTTTCAAGAACAGTTCAACGAGAAATACCCCATTTCTTAAAGCTGAGTTAGTCATCGAAAGGTATTGATAAACAGCAGCCCGTTAGCTGATGGAAATGATAATTTGGTTAATTATTAACTTACGGGCAATCTTCAAGGCTATACCACATTTTGCTTGTCATTTTTCTTAATAATTCCCTTGTCAGTAATTTGGTCCCTTTGATCGTTAACTTCTATTTGTCATTGTGCACTGATTGCACCAAATATTATTTCTAACATAGATTCTTGTTCTTCGGGTAGAATGGACGATAAATGGACGGAAATAAAAGAAAAATGGACGTAACACGGGACAAATAACCTCATTTGCTATTGATTTGTCTGCAATTCTTCCTTCACTAAGGTTAAGTGTGCGAGTCTCCAAAAAGCAATTAATATAACTGATCCTCTTGAGTGAAGAAAGCGCCGCTTCTCTTTCCGACCAGATGTAAACGATTACGATTTGTATTTCCGGATTGGGCTAACAGTTATGCTCTAGAAGATTCTAAATTGTCGGACTTTTACCGAAAATGTCAAAGCGCATTCCTTGTTTAAAGTAAATAAAAAGGTGATTACCTTTTAAGGCAATTACGGATTAGACAAGTGCTCAAATTAATTCGAAGACAGATTATCATCTTAACTTTTCGAAGCCACTACAGAATGCAACATCAAACATCCACTGAAACAGGAAAATCCTGAATCTTTCAAGTTTTTTGAGAGTAGGGTGATTTTAATTTTTATAACTTTTATCCCTACCTTCGATTAACCTTTGCAATTTCCTTCCTAAAATTAATTGGAAGGATCACTGAAAATTGATATCAAGCCCTTTAGCCATGTCTCCTTCCTCTATCTTATCTCACACAGCACGAGTCAAAGACCATCCCCAAATTGGCACGCTGTATGCATTGAACATCGTTAAAAAAAAAATAATTTCTCGACAGGAGACATATTTTATTACTTTAATGGTCATGCATCACATGATTTTTGGAACCTATGAATGCATCTTAAAAGATGTTAAGTAGAAGCACCTTTGAAGTTTCTTTTCTGAAAATTATTTAAAATTGTTCTACTTACTGAAGAACAAAAGGAAATAAAAAATTAGCCAATTTCGATATTTCTTTCTTTACAAATGTATTATTCATAGACTCCTCATAAAGAGGTCGTAAAATCTGTCTTGTGCAACTTCTATTTCATTTGCTGCGACATCTTCAGCTGATATAAGGAATTTTGAAGAAAGAGTATTTCAAATTCCTACCGATTTTAATCTAAGAAGTGATAACTTCAGGATAAACGAAATTTAATCATTAAAACAGTAAATTTTCAGCCAAGAGTTCGTTGGCAGTGCCATGTGTCACGCTTCAATAGGTAACGTCACACAACTAACCCTAAATAATTTTGACTCAGGATCTCTCTTGATTGAATAAAACCACTGTTAGTTTCTAGAAAATTTCTAAAAGTTTCTAAAAAACCTTTTACCAATCGAAGGACACCTATATGCGACTTTTCAAACCACTTTATACAGGCAAATAGTAGTGCTATGTCGCCTTTGTAAATTGTAATCCGTTATCCGAGCAGGAAGTGACAGTTTGTTTTGCATTGCTTAATGCGGCTCAAAAGGCAGCGCACTTTACACTTGCGAAGCTAAGTAATCGCAGAAATTGAGCATTGAAGTTGTCCTTCGAAAAATTTTGCCTTTTACGAAACAACAACAGTAACAAGAAACGATCAACCAGAAAAAAAACAAAAATTGAATTAAAAAAAAAAACAAACAAATAAATATCTCAAAACAATGATAGAACACCTACAAAATCATCCACAACACGAGCGGAATACTATATATATATTAATAATGCAAAATGTAGGTAATCAAACTGTCAGCAATGCTTTGTTCTGAAGTCATTTGTGATGGGACAGTTGGTCAGAAGAAGTTCTTTCTCATCGGCGCGGATCGCGTAATTGTTATTTGCTGTTTTCCGATTTATTCCCTGCTTTCACCATTCGTACTTGCTTTCCACAGAAGCCCTTGTTAAAGCCAACCTCGTCGATCGCAATGTCGCCTCGAAAGTTTCGACCCCTTACAGCTTCGATGATTAACTGAATGGGAAGGAAGTTGGAATTAGGAATTAGTAAAAGCGAAAATCAAAGGAAATCACAACGGATTAGGAGAATTCATTTTCTCTGAAAAAAAAAAAAAAAAAAAATTTATCTGAGACGCGCGTCAGCCAAGTGTAGCCTACCAAACATTGCGCTGTGAAATGAAGAAAGCTGATTTTGACCCAAAAATGTGGCCGAAACGTTTCATTTCAACTTGCTACCATCAGTTTTTAATTATACTCTAAATTTCAGCGTTTTGCTATAGCCAATTCGTACGCACAAATTAACGACGGAGATATTTGTAACTTGCATCTTACCTTATACTGGCTACCTCCTTTAATACCAATTTTAGCTTTTTTCCAGTCGTCTCCCTGGTTTCCATTACTGTTCCATAGCAAGGCAGGTAGGATTCCTTTTCCCAGCTCTTGTTTATACACAGACAGGCTGTCTATATCTTTGCCCGACATGTGGTAAGCAAAGAGCAGACAGCGGTCCTCTCCAGAACCATATATTGTCAACATGGCTTTGTCGCCAGCCCTTCGAGGAGAGGAGGACTCGATAAAAGCGTACTTTCCTAGCAATAATAAAACGCAAATATACTTTAAGTTGGAGTCTTATCCTAGAGTTTTAGGTGAGGATTTAAAGAATTCACAAAGCCGAATCGATGACTAAACCCCTTCACTCTCAAGAAATCATTTATAATTCTCTATACTCCTTAATTGCCATACAAGCTCCTATTCAATTGGTGATACTTTTTATTTTCATAACTTGTCTACTTGAGTTTGTTATGATATTTTTTAGGGAGAATTCCGTCTTGGTACTCGTGAGAGTTAAGGGTTACAAATTTGCATCAGTTTTTGTGTAGGTATTAACATGATTTCGAGTACAATTTGGTGGAAATAAGCACGATTAATTTTTCAAAGACAACAAAATTAAACGAGCCCGCAGGGCAAGAGCAATTTTTAGTCTCAAAAATGAACGAGTGCTTATTACACCAAATTGCAAGAGAAATCGTGTCATTACTTGTTAATAATGTACATGAAAAAACATCGCAGAAAGTCAAGACAGACGAAATTTTGAAAGCGTGCGCGCTCTATTTGTAATTTGCTCTCTTGTTACCGCTTTGCAATCGTGTTGCATGTGAATGCACGCGTTTTAAGCCAATCAGAAGCGCGTAATTTTTTCATGTACATAATTACCATAGAAATAATTACCTGATCCGCCAAATCCAGTTAGTGGCCCAGTACCCTTCGAGGGCGTCTCACCCTCAGTGATTGACCAATCAAACTGGTCCTCATTTCCCTCGTTTCTCCACTGGCAAAAACCTGAGTCGAAGGAACACACTCCTGGGGAAAAGAATAACCGACACTTTTTTCCAAACCTTTTTGCTGTACTTACAGAAAGAGAACCTCTTTCCGGGAGGTCAAATCCTACTGTTTCTAGATGGCTTGAAATATCACTTTTTGTTTCTTTTTGGTCAGCTGTTTATGCTGGTTTGAAAATTTTCGATTTTCTCTCGCGGTGAGGTAGGAACATAGCTACCGAGTAGACGTTTTCTTTTTCCTATTTAAGAATGAAACAAACCTCGATCCGTTAATCCAAGTTTAAGTCAATCTAGGTAACACCTCGGTATGCAACGCAGAGTTCTCACCTAATGCTAGATGGCTGTCCGCTTGGATTTCTTCTTCACTGACTCTTACCACGCATCTCCCTGGTGTAAATGTTATAGAGTCCACTGCTATGTCCCCTTCGAAAGTTGAACCTCGTACACCCTCAATGAAAATCTGCAGAGAAACAAACAGAACAGGCTTAGGTCCCCGAAAGGGGATTGTACTATGCATGTGCTATAAGACACAGGAAGGAGACATGGCTAAAAGGTTTCATTTAAATTTCCATTGACACTTGCAATTAATTCAAGGAAGGAAATAACAAAGGTTAATCAGAGGTACTGTTAAATGTGATAAAACTTAACGTCACCCTATTCAGAAAAAACCTCAAAGCTCCAGGATTTTCCTGTTCCAGTGGATGTTTGGTCTTACATTCTATAGTGGCCTCGACAAGTTAATAAGATAATCTGTCTTCAAATTTATTTGAGCACTTGTCTGATCCGTAATTTCCATAAAAGGTGTCACCTTTCAATTTAGTTTAAACATTTGGAATGCGCTTTGACAGTTTCGGTAAAAGTCAGACAATTTAGAATCTTCTAGAACATAACTGTTAGCATAATCCGGAAATACAAATCGTGATCGTTTCCATCTGATCGGAAAGACAAGCGGCGCTTTCTACAGTTAAGAGAATCAGTTATATATACCCATACACTTGGCTTCAGTGAAAGAAGAAATGCAGACTAGCAAAGTCTCCTAGACATCCTAAACTTACCCTATAAAATCTCCCGAACAAATTAAATTGTGCATTCTTCCAGTCTTCCCCTTGGTCTCCGACTCGGTACCAAACCACTCTCGGTGTTGAGTCTTTTCTTTTGATTTGATAAACCCTAAGAGTACCGATTCCAGACCCCAACATGTGGTACTTGAACTGTACGCACTGGGTTCCAGTCATGTATCCACTTAGCAGCTTGGCCTTTTCACCACTTTTTTGCAGAGAGGCTTCTAGATAAATATACCAACCTTCGGTATAATAAGAAAATCGAAATAAGAATAATGATGATAATGATGACAACGACAAAGCCAATGACAACGCAGACGACAATTATAATGGCAACGATATTGAAGATGACAAAAATAAGGAGAAGGATATGCATTGAGAAAGGGATAATGGGCAAGAGGAGAGCGTTTGATCTTCCACTGGTATGAAAGCTCTTTAATTCTTTACACCCTAACATCGGTCTGCATATCCTCTACACTTTTGTCTGTGTATTTCCTAGGATGCCGACGAGGATGTCCAACAGTCAAGAGCTTCTTCAGACGGCGATCCTTTCATTTATTCTCATGACGTTAATGTGTGATTCAGGGGTGATGATGTAAGGAGAAATTAGATGCTAAACGTAGAACTAAGCAACAAATTATGAAGCCCGACGACAGAGCTGAATAACGTCTGCCACTATTTTTTTCCAAAACATACTCCAAAAACTTTGTACACCTCCTAATTATTTTCAAAAATTCATTTTCTCCTTACAAACACTTGAAATCGGAAAATACCTTCAGTGACATCAAAATTTCTTGGTTTTAAACGCCAGCCCCTTTTTTACCTGCAAATTTTGCTGAATTTTAAACCTCGTACGCTTGAGCTCGCGTTATTAACCGCACACCTGTGACGTATGTCATTCAGCTCTGCTGAGCCCGACATGATTTTGCGAAAAAGGTATTTGATGAGTTAGTCTGATGGTTTGCAAGGAGGAAGCCGGGTCTTAAGGTTCTATTTCTGGGGAAGAAACTCAGCCCTCACATCGCCCCTGTACCTCGGGAATAGCTAGGAGTGGGCACCATTGAGGCGAACTGATGGGAGTCTGTTGCATCACGAGTAGCTCTGGAATCTGATCATTTGATTAAAATTGTCAAGCCACTTTGGTTTCAAATTTGGTAACAGTGAAAAGCCCAGTCCTAAAGTCAGTCCTCATATAACACTTCAACATGAACCTAAGCCTAGGTAATTTTTTTTGGAAAACTACGAAGCGCTCTTTCGCCACAGAGGAAAATATTTCGTACTCACCATCTCCGTCCGCATCGGAAGTGGGCCCAGTGTTCTGAGTCATCGTATCCCCACTGTTTATCAGCCAATCAAAGTCATCGTTGTTATCGTTTATCCAGGAACAGAAATGTCCCTTGAATGAACAATCATCTGGCAAAGCAAAAGTCAGTTGAGTAAAACAAGACATTTTTCACTTCTTTGTTGCTTTTATCCTTGAGGTGGCGCAAGATCAGTTTCAACTATATCCTGACACTTCTCTTCGTATTTACCTCAAGCTAATGTGTGTTGATATGGAGCGGATAGAATATCAATTGAAATTTACTAGCACACACAAAAAACATTCAACAACAACCAAAGTTTGAGGCATCAAGTTGGGGTCGTATGTATGAATAAGTGAATAAGTAGGTAAGTAAGTAAGAAAGAAACTGACGCAATATTATGAAAGGTTGCATTTTAAAAAAAAATAAAGAGAGATTTTTCTTTACTTTCAACCAATAAATGTGCTGGAATGGTCGGTGTAGTTGCGGACGTCGTTGACGTTGTAGCAGCAGTGATAGCACGTTGGAATGGAGGACAAGCACCTTTCGTGAACTCGATTTTGTCAATGGCTATGTCACTTCTCCATACACCAATAACCGCTTCGATTTGTATCTAAAAGAATTTCATTTATTTGACAACTGTGAGCTAAGATTATTCGTTTAGGTTTCTGCCTTTACTTACTAAAGCGTATGTGACAGTAAATTAGTAAGTATTATCGTTTTCTCGTAATCCTCATTGCTACACATTGAGGATCAAACATATCAGGTTATTCAAAGAAGGCTTCACCCTTCAAACAGCGCTGAGGAAAATACAAGGGGCATGGATGTAAACGATCAAGAAACAAAGCAAATGAAGAGAAACAACTTTTGGCATCGTTTCTATGATGACAAGGGACAAACAAGATTGGTTGGCTTCAATACTGTGATGTGAATGGTTGATGTAAATAATGATGTAAACAACATGAATTTGTATATATCACACAAGTAAACAGAGCTCTTCGCGCGCGCGGATTGGTTAGTTCGGAGGTAAAAAGCAAGAACTAATCACCTCCGGGGAGTCGAAGAGACAAAATCGCGCGCCAAGAGTTTAATTTCCGACCGTTTTTTGGTATATTGAAAGAAATAAACTAGTTTTCTCTTTTTTTGAGGTATATACTGAATTATTCACCTCAGCGTAGGAGAAAGTGGTGGTTATTTACCTCCGCTTTGGTGAAGAGTGTTAATTATATATGCATTTTTGTTGGTTCCTTCCTATGATCTATCAGAGGAGAGACGCATTGAAGACGTCGCATTTTTTTTTTTTTTGCCTTTTTTGCTATGTAAAACATAGGTTTTAGGTTGCCGTGGGTCTGTTCGGTAATAGATCACGGACGACGTCAAAAGGCGATAGGAACATCAGTGACACATTCATGTGCCACATTCTTGTTCTGCCGCCTCTTAATGTCATCTGTGACCTATTACTGAACCGATGCATGGCAACATGAAATCAATTTGTTTAAGAAATTAACTCTGTGCGCAAAAGTTCAAGACCTTACCACATACGACGTTGAGTTACAAGGAAGAGTTACTCGTGCTTCGTGCCACTTGTCACCTTGGTTTCCATAGCGACGCCATAACCGGCCCCTCATAATTCCGTCGCCCACGCGATAAACAGAGAGCGAACCCATATCTTGACCAAACATATAATATCTAAAGCGCATGCACTGAAGGCCCTTCAATAAACCGCTGGTCAGGATTGCTCTGTCAGCGAATCGTCTGGGCTCTGATGATTCCACATAAAGGTACTGACCTTTGAGGAAGAAAATATAATGTAAAACAAAGGGTAAAAAATGATGTGCTGTGAAAGAGGTAAGTTTTAGTTATCTTTTAATCTTATTCACTGCCGTTATAAGGGTTCGTTGCGCAGCACGCCTTTCATTTGCCTTTCCCTTTTTTCAATTTCATTTTTCCTTTTTCAAAATCACCCTCAGCCTATTACAGTAACCAGAATAATTTTCAAGTGAACGAAGTCACAAAACTAGGCAAATGAAGTAAAAAAATTATAGTATGATTTAATGAATTTTGCTTAATAATAATCTAAACAAAAATAATAAAATCTAGAAAACTGCTCGTTTAAGAAATAAGACAAAACAAATTTGGTGCCATAAAGGACAAAATTGGTACAACTACAAAGATACGAGCGCACCCTAAAATAAAGTTTTCAGAGTCATTTAAACCTTTAAAGCTGCCCATCTTAATGCAGATAAGATGATAATCCTTCGCGGATAATTTGATCGAGCAAATTATGCAGGGCGCTGTGTCAACTCTTATCTAATCCATGATTAAGCAGCTTTACATTAACTCGGGACCGAAGGCAACTCCTTTGGCCAACTTATTTATAGTAACCTCCCCTAACTATATGCCATTAGATGGTATCTCAACTTGAATTTTTTCGGTCCATTTGACAAGCCAAGTAAGAAGTGTGCTCCTTCTTGTATGGTCTCCGAGGGTTTGTTAGATTCCTGTTTATTAGCACAAAGTTCCTAAGCACTCAAAAAGACATGCATGATTTTAATGTCAATATGAAGATGTTACGGGGTCACAATACCAAGGCATCTAACCTTCTCCTTCATAACCAGCAGTTGGACCTGTTTCTTCGCTTGGAGTCCCTCCCTCTATCAGCTGCCAATCAAAGTCATCATTGGGATCATTTATCCATTTACACAATCCTTCATCAAATGTGCAGTTACCTGGGGAAATGACGGTATAATTTCCGAATATTTTAAGCGCACAAGGCAACAAGGATCTAAGGTCTATTACGATTAGGTTGAATCAAACGTTCAGATGTCTGAGCTAAGGCCACGCCAGTACTTGCCTATACTCCCGAGGGTATAGAGGTAATATGAGAACTCGGTGTCTTTCCCAAGACTAAAGGATCAGGCTCAAGACCGGCCTTTCACGCGCAAACTATCGGGCCAACTAATTAAATGAGTTAGATTAGATGAATATTTTTGACGCAAAATCGAGCAGGGCTCCATCATTTGTTCCGTTAATCAAACGAAGTTTCTGCTTTTAATCGTATCTGTGACATTGCCTTTTCTAAGGTGCACGATCCTGGAAAATCCGATCGCGATACACATGTTGATTAACAACACACGAAAATAAATTCCGATAGCGTTCCACGCAAGATGAACAGTTATGTTACTTTTTTGCTGTTTGTTCGGTTTGCTTTGACTCACCAATCAACCCAGCATCGAATGAATCTTGTTTCAACTGACAACAGGTTCCTTTGCTAAAGAAAATGTCGTCCACAGCAAGATCAGAAAGATAAGAAGGACCCACAACGCCTTCAATAATAATCTGCAATTTAAATTTGAAGGATCATGTTAGTACTAGAGGTTAGCCACGATTTCTATCGCCTATAATCTAACCTAACCAATGTTTACGCTTTCGCGTAAGATATTCTTTACTCGGACTAAATGTTTTCGGTAAAGTTTACCTATAGATATTTCAGTGAAGTTCGATGACTTCACAGGTTGCTTACTGAAGCTACTCATCTATTTCAGTCGGTTTGGCCCGCGCTATTGTCACTGGAAGAGAACACAAGCGACACGCGCGTGAACAAGCAGAACACGCGAGTATATTGCGTACAATTCACGTGTACCAATGTGAATCACTAATTTGCGTTCCTTTCTCAATCGAACTTCTTAGCACTGTCTTACAGCTTAGGGAGCCGAAGTTCCAACTCAATGATATGTGAAAAATTTTTAAGCCTTCTGAATTCAAAGACCGAATTTCTCTACCTCACTGACAAGAACACCTTATCTTAGAGGATAAAAAATATTAGAGCACCTGGTAACAAGCTCCTCCGATATCAACTAAAGCCTCGTGCCAATCTGGTCCCTGATGTCCCGACATAGTCCACAAAAGATCGTCACTACGCACACCTTCTCTCTTGTAAACACTCAGCTTGCCCATGCGATCCCCGTACATACTGTAAAAGAACTGAAGGCACATTCTTCCGCAAATGCGTGGGCCCATCAGCAGCGCCCTGTCTCCATATCTCTGGGGTGCAGACCCCTCAATAAATATATATGCGCCTGATGACAAACAAATTATAAGTTTAGATTAGATATGCGATTCAACGATCATGTGGTCACACTAAGCAGGCTAAAGTCTTCGTAGAATTCTTAATGATACGATAAAATATGAAACTAATTCACCATCGTATCCGGTGTGATCTTTCTCTGGACCAGTGTCTACTGTTCCTGTAGCTCCACTGTTTAAAGTCCAGTCGAATTCATCACCAAGGGGCAGATTGATCCATTCACAAAACCCACCATCAAAGTCGCACGTCCCTAAATACAATTACGTAGGAAGAAACGTTAAACACCTATTCAGAATGACATTGAGTCACTCAAGTCAACTCCGCTATATTCAGTGATTTAGTCAATCATAAAATCCATCCGTTGTATATCGGAGTGTCAGTACGTGGTTCGCACGTAGTGTCTTTTCGTCAGTCAAGCGGGCAATCAGTCAGTTAGTCAGTTAGTTGGTCCAACACCCAGTCAGTTAGTGAGTTAGGCAGTTGGTAACTCACATAGGTGAGTAAATAAGTGGGTGGTCTTTTGTAAGTCAGTCAGCCGATCAGTTAGTCTAACTGTCATTTTTTAGTAGAATCTCAGTCAGTTACCCGCTGGCCAGTCGCTGATAATAATCAAATACAATACCTGTCTCTCCTCTTTTCATATCTGAGTGCACCGTCAAGTTGCGAGGCAAATAATTAAGTTCCTTTCCATCACAAGTTCCATTGACAAACGTTATTTCATCCAAGGCAATATCACCCTGATAGGACTTGCCCACTCTGGCAGCAAATATAATCTGAGGGAAAATATTTTATGATCAGTCTAGAAGCCAGAGATTGACTTGAAAGAACGCTGTAAACTTCTCCCATAGCCTGCAATTTTTTCAGTTTCCTTTCAGCATAACTGGAAATATCATGAGCTAAAGCAAAGAAAGGCTCTTCCTTCTTTCTTTTTAACACGTAACGCGACCACGCCCCCCTCTCCGTTCCATGCCCACAAGCTTACGCTTTTCATGCTCGAATAGGAGGAAACTGAAAAGACTGGTACGTAAGCTACCTGTGACGTAGCAATCTTTGGAGACAAGAGCACGAAACATGGCCTCACCCGATAAAAAAGACATTCCTGGTTATCAATCATAACTTCCCCTGAGGCCTAAGTGGTTTCAACGACTCTCACTGAAAAAGACACTCAGCACATCAGTCAGAAGTTCCGCACACCCAAATATAAACAGTTTCATTTTCTCTTACTGTGTAATTGTTGCCGAAGACTGTGACGTTGCTGTACCTCCAGGTATTTCCTTGGTTTTTATATCGGCCCCAGACAAAATTCTCCATCCCATCCTCTTTTAGGTAGATTTGTAGATCTGCTATGTGTCTTCCATACATGTGGTAGAAAAAACGCATGCACATTATACCGGAAAACGGACCTCCAAGGAGACGAGCAGTCTCACCAGCTTTTCTCGGCCATGACGCCTCGGCGTAGATATAGAAGCCTGGGACACAAAAGTCTTACGGGTTAGTATTATGACGAAACTACGTTCAGGTGGAACTTGACGTAAAAGCATTATATAGAGAAAATGTATGGGCGGATAAAATTTCACAAAAATACGACAACAATGGCAGAATCATAGCAACTTTTAAAGAGAACAGGAAACAGAATTAAGTACAAACAAGAAACGATGTTAGTTAAATCACGCGAGACAAGCCGTACTTTGAAAAAAAATTGAGAAATTCAAAGTCGGTTCAGCGAGAAATGCAAAAGTTTATGATTGGGGATCGCTGATGTAAGGGTGATCTTGGATAAAAAGATACGAAAAATGCAGAAAAAAGCACTTATAAAACTTACTCTTCATACATTTTGGGATAAGAGAACTAACATAAAAACTTTATTGCCTCGCGTTTTCCCGCGCTTTTGAAATACCCTGCTTGTGTTATCATCGGCTCTTTGTGTTATTTTCCTTTGCATAGATTGGTTGTTGCAATTAGTTTGGTTTTTCGCCAGCGACACTTAAGAAAAAGCCATCTACTATCTCTATGAGTGATGATTGCAGAGTCCTACCTTCTCCGGAGCGATCCTTCCTAGGTCCAGTATTGCTACTTGGTGTTCTCGATTTCAGCCGAATCCAATCAAAGTCATCTCCACTTGTTTCATTGGTCCAGTTACAAAAATCCACGTCAAAATCACATCCTCCATCTTTTGCAAAGTCAATGAGAAAAAAATAAAGAATTAATTTATGGTTCGAGTATCATTCATAATCCAATTAGTCTTTGCTGTCCCTAAGCATCACGTTCATCTTGCCAGCCTTCATCATCCTCTCTCTGTTTTGGTTTATCTTACTTTTGTGCTGTTATTCGAAGCACGTTAAAGCATGATAAACAACATGTATCAACCCATGAAAAGGGCCGATGATTTACTTCTTTAAATTCTCTTTTTAACCCTTTCATTCCCAAGATCTCATTAGTAATTCTCCTTACTGTCTGCCACATAGTTCTTGTAATGTTAGTTTTGAGAATTTGGTATTGGATCAACCAATAATCCCCTAATTAATATTTATTCTCATCACTTGTCTGCTTGACATTGCATTGATATTGTAAAGAGAAATTCTGTCTTGGTCACACATGGGAGTTAAAAGGTTAAAGCAGTTCACGTTTATACTTTTGTTAAACTTACAGGATATCGCGAAAAGTCAAAAATAATAACATCAGACCATACGTATGTAGAGGAATTTGCTTAACAATCAAGAGCTTCCTTCGTTGGCGAGAATTTCTTCCCCTCCCGTGATTTTGGTGTTTGATTCAGCTGTAATACTGTAAGGAGGAATTCTTAAGGATCCGAGGAGGAATCAAGAGGCCGTTGAAAACATAAAACACAATCCAAACCAACGATCCATATGTTAAAACGACATTATACCTTCCCCTGAAACTCACAATTTTTATCGAAAGATTCTATTGACCAAAATTTGAAAGCTTTTTAAAGAGTTTGTAATTGAAAACTTTAAATAAATTAAATGGCACACAGGAACTAGTCTATTGAAGATGCGAGCGGGAGAAATATCTCACGCAAATTGGCGTGATTTAAAAACAATTTAGTAGACATGAAGATGAAAGGTGGTTACACCTAAACTTTAAAAATAAAATAATTTTTATCAATTTTTTAACTAAGTGCTCTTAATAAACAAATCTGGAGAAATGTGCCAGGCCAAATTCTTGATCGCTCGGGTCACTTGAATCAGAATATAAGTACTTTAGGGAAAGTTGCCAATGTTGCCAACTGATTGTTAAACCGTCCTTGGGACATAAAGTACTGAAAATCTTACAACTGATTTAATAATGACGTTACAAAGTTGCGATTTGAAAAACACTCCTCTTTCAGAAAATCATTTTGACATAAACGAATCATTAGTTTAAGTCGATTTACGGTTTAGTTTCAATGTTCTTTTCTTCAGTGTGCCAACAAAAAATGCCATCAACATTTTTTTCTAAATGATTTCTGCCTGTGATGAAATGCTGAGGAAAGCTATGCACGGGGGTTATTGTAAATCCTTTTATGTTTGTTACTAATTAAAAGTAACTCAAAACCTATTTGACGTGTTCCGAGCTTAAACGACTAAAAGCTTGGAGAAATGTTACAATGCGGCTAACATCTGCTTTAGATAGAAAGGTTTTGCGGCGAACAGCATGAGTTGTAAACATCGTACTTTGGTAGCGGAATTTACGTAATTACACTGTCCTACTCTCAGGAAACGTATTTCAAACACATACACACATATGCAGTACTGATTAACAAGTTGTTAAAATCTCCTTTTTGATGGTAAAATAATTATTATGGAGGACTTAAAGAGGTGTAAAAAATTATCCTCAACTCAAGTTACGAGCTCGCGCGTCCTTAAGGTTCCGAACACAGCTCGGTCTGTCGTCATAAAATATGTTATGGATACAATCTTCAAGCCGCGGCCACATATCACATAAAACATGTAACACTCTTTGTGGTGCAATTACCGCCACTTGGCCAAAAAAGATGGGAATTCTGATGTGGTTCCCTGCCTTACCCTTATGACAAATGTAATGATTTCTCCAAATGCATCCTTTTTTTTTTGGCCGTTGGCCTGTTTTGGCTTAACTATTTCCCTCCTGGAATAATACAAATCCTCGCTGAAATAATCTTTGGGTTTTATCTGATGATGCCGTTGTAATACTAAATAGATCCAGAACGGCTAGCTGAACTTAATATTTTATGTGAACCAAGAGAGTTTAAGTTAAATTTGTTGGATAAAGGTTAGATTTAAACAAAAAATGTCATTATAAAAATTGACTGCAAAACTTAACACCACCAACTGAAAACGAAATTATTGACGAAAACGCTTAACTACTGACCAAACACGATAATCTTCCTTTCCGTAGGTAAATTGTTTTTAAATCACGCCAATTCGCGTGAGATATTTCTCACGCTCGCATCTTCAATAGACTAGTTCCTGTGCGCCATTTTATTTATTTAAAGTTTTCAATTACAAATTCTCTAAAAGCTTTCAAATTTCGGTCAATAGAATCGTTCGATAAAAATTCTGAGAGTCGCTTTTAGAAAAGGCAAGAGCTGGCCCAAGCCGCTATCTAAGATTGGCCATAAGCTCCCTACCGCACGTCTACAATCCATCTTTCGTGGAATTCGATGCTGAAATTCACTCGCGTTACGTGGTTTTTACCTTTTAACGGAAGATCAATTATGTCTCACATTTATTGTAGACTAAACCGGACATGTGTTTGTTCACACGAGGAGTTCTTTTAACCATCAAGGAAGCCGGAAGATCTTAAGTGCCCTAGCAGTAAGACAAATTGCATTCACTTTCTTCATACATTGATATTTTGCTGTTTTCGTAATGTGTACGGTGTTATTGAGTCATTTGTTCTTCATAATACATCAAACAAAAGATTAACCGATGATAGTCATGGCAGAAGTCTTAGTGTTCGAGTGCGTAAAATTGACAGAGTTGTCTTAAAGAAAACAAGGTATCGATTTGCGGCGATTTCTTAAAAAGTAACTTCTTCATACAGCTATTTGTGGTAAATTGGGTTTTGTAATAAAGATTCGAAGAACAGAAGGATATGAAGCCGTTTGTACTTAAAACATACTGTGCGCATTATGAAAATTATCTTAATCCCGTGACGCTATTAGTGATTGCTTGCGACATTTTGTAGCATATAACGTATCAACGTTAAGGGCCTCTAAAAGGAACAAGTAAAGAAATAAATGCGTTAACTTTTCCGTTAGTACATCAAAAATACATGGCATTTCTAGGGACGTCAGTTCTATCACAAAACTTGACCATGCTACGTTACCTAAAATTGCTTCTCTGTGCATCTTGTGGATTGGCGTCGTTTCATTGGAAGGGCTCGTCGTACTGTTGCTTTCTGTGGAGATTCTGAAGGCAAAAACACCATTATTTGCCAGAAGAGTGAAGGCAATCGCGAAGAATATCGTCTTGTAGGTCGAGACCTTCATGGTGAACGCTGCATCCAACTCACTGACCAGGATCTCTCTGCGAAACGCTTCCTCTGTAAAAGTCAACAATTGATAATCCTTTCCTTAGATTCACCTCTTGCGAAAACATAAATACAAGAGTATGGTCTGGAATGTAGATTAAGAGTGATTGATAAGCAGTAGGCGGTGTTACGGCTAGGAGTTTCAATCATCAAACTGGAGCACTGTAAAAGCCTATAGATTATATTCAGGTTAACTTATTCCCTCTCTGTGAGGTGTTTATTTAACCCGAGACGTCTGCTGCCCAAATACTAATAAATCAATTCAAATCCTTCAACAAATTCCGCTTTTCAAGTTGTGCCACGTGCTGTATGCGCGCGTGAGAATTCGGCAAACCATGCAGTTATATTTTTAACCCTTTCCCAATCCCCAATATTTAATATCAATTCTCCGCTCTGTTTGTTAAACAAAATCTAAAATTTTAGCTCTGAGAATTTCGTGTTACATCAAACGTTGTCGTGTAGTTCCTATTTTTCTTTAACCTTTCTGCTCGAAATTGTATCGACAGTGGAAAGAGGAATTCCTCTTTGGTCAATTCTGGCGATTAACAGGTCGAAGGTCTTAAGGCTCTCTCTATTTACGTCACGCTCTTTCTTAAAATGTACGGAATGCCCTCCCGAAAGGGCTAAAATAGAAATAAGGCTGGCAAATCGACAAAATGTTAATAAGTTTGGATCATCATCGAAAAGGAATTGACCCACCAACGCTGGTAGATTTTGTTGCTCCGTTCATTGTGATCATTTCATTATTAAATCAAGTTTGCAAAGAGCCTAACATAGGCGCAATTGTCTTGACCTACTCATGCTAGATTCTTCTTTTATGTTATTTTTTTCTTTTTTATCTTCATATATTTTTTTTGTCTTGTTTTTGTTCAAGAGATAAAAAAACGTGACTTAGCGATCCTTATCAGATTATTATCGTGTCAGGTAACATTCACCAGACGTTAACCTTGTCTATCTCTAATTAAGTGCATATAGTTTATAATAAGCAGTATTTTGATATGGGGCGCGACATAAACGATAACATTAGACCATCTCGATAGTAGCAATTTGTTATCCGAACGCCCGGCGTCTTCGCCTCACTGATCATACTGCGCTGCACGAAAGAATAACAACAGTAACTTGTACATCATTTCTCAGCCGGAAGTGAAGTTATTGTAATGCTTAATCCTTTTCTTTTCAATCAACGAGGTGCATAACCTGGCTTAAGTCATTTTAGATTCACACGACGCCAAAAAGCATCTTGTTTGGTACAATAAGCTACTCTAGCCACGTTCTCATCATCTTGAATACAGACAAGATAACTTCTCCTATTGATATAGAGCCGTCTATTGAGTAAAACGATTTTATCAATTATTTTATTCTTCAGAGAACCAGTTGTGCACTTCTTCTTCTTAAAAAAAAAAAACACTTTCCAGTATTTTGTAAGATACGATTTTGTGAAAGACTCAGTATTCATTCTTGACCATAAGCCAATTTTGGGATTTAGGGAAGTTATCACGGGAACTTACTGGTTAGCTAAAATCTAAGTAGAATCTTTGAATACACAAACGGATTTTAAGCCTCAAATGTATTAACGTCTAACAGCAGTTTCGCAGACAAACAATCAGAAAATTTAAAAAAATTGAGAAACTCTACGGGAAAGTCGACCCTTTCGCTGTAAGAAATATAGTGTTCCGCTCCAGGTCAAAAAAAAAAAAAAAAATGGGCAATTGGGTTACCCTTGCATTTCCGTTGTACTCTGCTTAACCGCGCGGTCTAGCGTCGTGTTGTTGGAGGCAACTCTATGCAAGATGGTTAACCATCTCAGAAATTATCGACTGATTTCGAAACCAATGCATCCTATAAATTTATCGTAAATTCAATTAAAATGTTTGTTTTTTTTTAACAAATCCCATTGGAGCATAATGAGGTAATTATCTCATACTATTAATCTCGATCTTTCTGTATATTTTAGGTATTTTGATTTGCAACTGACATTTTCTTCCTTTTTTAAAGTTTTCTTTGTCTTTTAAGAGAGTTAAGGATCTTCATTACGCATTGGACCACGAAGCCGATGCTTCAGTTGCGTTTTTAAATGGTTACTTTGACACTTGCAGTAGTGAACATAGTTCAAATATATTATTCTACCAACAATTAATGGAACTCAGACATGAACATCAGCCGGAGAGCTTTGCCAAGACAACACAGCAAATTTTCCGTCAAATTTTATAGGAAAATGTAAGGAAATTAGAAAAGAAAATTGGTAATCGAATCTTGAGAGTTTTAAAAAAGGGTCAAGAGAAAATGACGGTTTTAGGGTCAATTTTTGCCGTAGCTATACAAGAGGGTATAATGGTGGCGGGGCTGGGGAAGACTTTGAAGGTTGACGATCAATTTGTCTTGGATCTTAATGGTTGACAGATTGGTTGACATTGTTTCTCGGAAAATTTTCAGTACATCATACCTTTTGTATCTTGTACTGACGAAATGAGGTTAAATGTATTTCTTAGAAAGGTACCTTTAGCAACTACTAATGAATAAATTTTGGTTCCTGATATCATGGGTTCAAATTTCGCCTGCAGAAGACAAAGATGTCAGATGACTTGTCACGATCGTGAGCAAAAATTATAATCTCTTTGCGTGGGACAAGAAAACAATTTGCCTCCCCCATAAGGAATTGAACCCCAAACCTTCGGATTCCATGCTCTGAAAACATCGTATTATTCCTTGTATAAGCAAAAGGAATAGAGAAGCTGGTAAACTTTGAGAACTTAGTCTGTGAAAGATAATAGTAATACTCTTCTGGAGGCTCATCTTGCATATCCTCATGCATAGTTCTGTCACACAACATGCCGATTTGCTATATATAGACGTAAGTCTTCGCTTTTCAAGTTTGACGTGGTGAATAAAGCTTATAGACTCTGTACGATCAAGTCGTGCTCCCCAGATATGCCACCAACTTCGAGACTCGAAAATAGCGAAAAATAAAAACTAAAAAAAACATATAGAACCGAGAAACCGCCGGAAAGTTTTATCAAAAGCGAAAACTGCATACAACACTTCTTTGAAAAATGCGTTGAGAGAACGTTATGAGGCTCATTGAAAAATCTTTTCCGATCTCTTAGCAGCAGAGTAATGGCACGTGTTTGTGGTAAAGGTGATTAATTTCCAAACAGAAATCGGAAACCAGACGGGGAAATACCAAAAATCATATCCGGATACCAATTACGAAAAAGCCCTAGAAATTTTTCCAAAACCCCACAACCGAAAAAGAGAAAAACCACAAACCGATTTCCGGTGCTCAAACCGAGACCCGATACTAATTAAAAAAGATAAAAAACGAAAATCCCAACTTCCTCTTCGAAACTGACTGGCGCTTTTGTTTTCGTTAAAACGAAGAGTGGCGAAGCCGCGAAAGGCTTGAGACGGAAAATGATCTTTTTTCCAATCGCAGCTTCGTTCATTCTGCATCTAGAGGAGAAATTAAATGTCCGACTTTTAACTTGAAAAAAATATATATTTATGGAGGTAAAAGACGGAAGACTTAAAACTATTTTCATCGTTATGAATCCAATAACTTAAACACACATAGGAGACAAAGAAACACAGAACTGGAGCGAGGTTAGCTATTTTTCACACGTATCTCAAACGTTGTAAGGTTTCCAAATGCAACCCTTTTCCCATAAACATCCATTATCATACTATGTACCAACAACGTAATAATTGTTCTGTAAAGAGATTATTGTAATAAGAAAAACAAAACAAAACAAAACAAAGCAAAATGAATGGAAGGTGTCTGTGCTTTACTGAATTATATGTGGGTGTTGTTAGCAATGCTCTCCTGGATGCAGATTGATTTTGTTGCAAATCCGTTTATAAATTTAATTATTGGATTCTCTACGTCTAGAGATAAAGCGCCAATTGTAAAGAGGCATCTGTTTATTTGGTCAAATTTTATTCCGAGCGTGACTTTGTCCTCACTTCCATTGAACAGAAACTTAAAAATGAAATAAAATGGGGAAAAAAAGAATAAAAAAAAAACCAGTAACGAGTTGATGGTAACTGTGGTCAATTGCATTTAAAGCCATGCGGTGACGGCAGCGGCATTCGACTTGTATCTAGCCCTGCTCAAATTGAACGTGCCATTTTGTTAAAAGAATTCAAACATCAAAGGGGCAATTAGCTGTTGATGAAAGCACTTTCAAATGCAAACTGATCAGTGCACGTCTACTGGTTCAGTTAATTGCTATCGCTCTAATTTGCTATATGATATTTCAAGTGTAAATTGCTTCAACATGCAACGCCCCTTTTGTTGTTCTGACGAACGTTATTACTTTGCCATTTAGTAATCATCATCATTATTCGGCGCCCAGTACTAACTTTTTCGCTGATTTCTCCTCGATTCACGTACAACTTAAAATGGTATGACGTAGGGATGCAGCCATAGCCAATGTGATTTCATGACCCAATATCACTGCCAAAAGTATCTTGCGCGAAAAAGGGATGGTAAATTTTGAGGTCAATCATAGTATAAAAAAAATGTCATTCTTACAGTCACGATCGTGCATGGAACAGAGGAAACATGATTTAAATCATTCCAGCAGTAGAGGTTTTTATTGCATGGTTGTTGCCAGTTTAGTAAGGGCGTTTGCTGTTTTGGTATGAAGAGCGTTTGCAGTCCTGAATTAACAGCACACGCGTTCTTCTTGCATCTAGTTCTAGGCACGTTTAACGTGCCATTTCTTGAGGCTAATATCCTTATGAAGCTTAGATCAAAGAGGGAAACGGCTGCAGATGTCAATCTTTTCAAACACAAACGTTATCAGTGCACGTGCATGGGTTTTGTTGAAGTCATTGCACTAAACAGACTAGCGACGTACAATCACGATCGTGCATGGAGTAAAGGAAACACGATTTGAATCATTCCAGCAGTGGAGGTTTACATTGGATGGTTGTTGCCAGTTTCAAGTAAGGGCGTTTGCTGTTTTGGTATCAAAAACGTTTGCAGTCCTGAGTTAACGGCACGTGCGTTCTTCTTGCATCTAATTTTGGGCACGTTTAACGTGCCATTCTTG